TGCGCGCGCGCGCGCGCGCGCGCGCGCGCGCGCGCGCGCGCGCGCGCGCGCGCGCGCGCGCGCGCGCGCGCGCGCGCGCGCGCGCGCGCGCGCGCGCGCGCGCGCGCGCGCGCGCGCGCGCGCGCGCGCGCGCGCGCGCGCGCGCGCGCGCGCGCGCGCGCGCGCGCGCGCGCGCGCGCGCGCGCGCGCGCGCGCGCGCGCGCGCGCGCGCGCGCGCGCGCGCGCGCGCGCGCGCGCGCGCGCGCGCGCGCGCGCGCGCGCGCGCGCGCGCGCGCGCGCGCGCGCGCGCGCGCGCGTGCGCGCGCGCGCGCGTGCGCGCGCGCGCGCGCGTGCGCGCGCGTGCGTGCGTGCGTGCGTGCGTGCGTTCTAGCACGTGTGATTACAGATTCAATATATTTTGATATCTTGCCCATATCTTTTTGGAAGTAGGAATATGTACTATGTATTTAGTTTTGAAAAGCTAAAATACTAAGAGCAATTTTAGGCCGACATATGTTGATAGATGCAATAGGTTCATTTTGGTATTCACAATGATATATAATTTTTAAAACACTATCGCGGTTTATGTTCTTCTTGTCCATTTTATTGAAATAGTCTAAATCTATCATTTTTACTTCATTCTTGTTATCTTCTAGTTCAAATTAGGATGTGACGAGTGGCGTCGCTCCCTTATTGGCACTGTTCGGACAGTCGGTACTCTAATCGTGCTACCAATCACGGGTTATATCTCAGACCGCTGGGGCCGGCGCATGGCGCTCACCCTCAATGCCTTCAACACTGGCTGGACGGGCCTTGTGCGTTCCTTCGTCCACACGTATGAGTGGTTCCTCGCACTAGAAGTTATTGAAGCTTGTCTCGGAGCTGGTGGTTTCTCTTCGTGTTATATTCTAGGTAAGGTTATTTTTTTATATTATATCATAATTTTAATAAACAACGTAAATAATAACTGAATTATTGTGAATTTGCAAATTACAAGAAACGTAAAAATTGTTTGTTCATATCTAAACTGATCTTATTTTGGAATTGCCAAAGACGTGACTGCCATCTAATGGAAGAGTTATAACCATTGTTTTGTAGACATGAATAACATAACGAATATCGATAGAATACATTGTAATAATACTGATAAATCTAATATATTACTGCAATTAAAGACTCATTAATCATGACACATTTGTCATGCTTTGAACCTTGTAATTTTATTGTTTTTAAACTAAAACATACGCAAGCATAGATGCTTGGTAACCGAAACTCTAGTAACCAGAGAGTTGCATGCAATGCTACACGTGGAAGACTTTATGTTTTCGTAGTTTCTTTTCACATGGTCGTTTTATTTATTTATTATAGCTAATAATAAATAAATAATCTAGAAATAAAATAATATTAAATGTGGAAGAAATGATGCGTTATTGTTTATTTGGTTGGTACAGTTACGGAGTTGGTTGGCCCCAAATATCGAGTGATGGCTGGTGCAACGATATCCACAATGTTTGCTATAGGACAGGTAATGCTTGGATTCATAGCATGGAACGTGCCATCGTGGCGCCTTCTTACACAGGTGCTTTACGTGCCTCAACTCATAGTGATTAGTTATTTCTGGATCCTCCCAGAGTCTGTCCGGTGGCTCATGAGTAAAGATCGATACGAAGAATCTGAAGCAATCCTTAAAAAAGTAGCAAAGACAAATAAGAAGGAATTATCAGAGAAGTCCCTAGCATTATTACGAACCAGAGCAGAAGTTGAGAATAAAACAATAATTGCAGAAGATCCATGGTTGCCGGTCCTCGTATTTAGATCTCGTGTAATTCTGCAGAGATGCATCATATCACCAATATGGTGGATAACAATGACTCTAGTATACTATGGGATGACCATTAATGCCGTGCACCTGTCGGGTAACCAGTATTTGAATTTTGTGATTGTATCGGCAATAGAGATCCCTGGATATTGGACAGCGATTCTTTTACTGGACCGTATTGGTAGAAAACCAGTGTTAATCTGCGCATTCTGGATATGCGCTGTCTGCCAGTTTACATTTGGTTTTATGTCTGAAGGTAAATAATGAATACTCACACAATATTTTCTTGTTTGATGTTTTTAAAATATTTTATAAGTTATGACTGAAAGATTTATCCATTATATGAATGATGAGAATTCAATAAATATTGAATAAAAGATTGTATCTTTTTAGGTATGGATACTTTATCTTTGATTGTGTATCTGATTGGCAAATACAGTATCTCGGTGGCAGTGACTTCACTGTATGTGTACACTGCGGAATTGTTTCCCACGAAATACAGACACAGTCTCTTCGCCTTTGCTTCTATGATCGGCAGACTGGGTTCTATCACAGCTCCCCTTACACCTGCACTGGTATGTATGGGAATCGTTTCGCTCATTTTAGCTTAAAGAAAAGCATTTCTATTAATAAAGAAAAACCTCTGTGGTTTTCGCACAAATTAAGTCCTGAGTTCAAATCATAGTCAGTTCAAAAGAAGAAGGGAAATTATGGTCTGGGTGTCTTATTCTTCCAAGTTCAGTATTTGATTTTGTAAAAATATATTACCCTAGCTTGAGGACCAAGCAATTAGTATGATTGTGTAGCAGTTGGTTATTATTATTAGTTGACTATTTCAGGCACAGGAAGTATGGGAGCCTTTTCCATCCGTACTATTCGGCAGCTTCGCTCTACTATCAGGATTGCTGATCTTCACTACGCCGGAGACGCTCGGCACTAAGCTACCTGACACTATAGAAGATGCTGAACTCGTTGCCTCTAGAAAGATAGACGTTTGATTTTAACATGCCAACATTTTTATGCGTAAAACGAAATTTTCTGAATAAATAATTTAAATGGACTTATAACAACTTCGAATTTAAAAATTGTTAAGATTATTAAATACTAATAATTATTGACACGACTAGTTTATGTTTTAATTACACGAATATTTGTATTAAATCTGTACTTAGCCAACATCTGTTCTCACTTATCAATATGGAACTACTTTTAGGCTTCCCTAAAGCTGTAAATCGGAAGATTGTGCGGTAAGTTCTGGAGAACTTAAGATCATAATTAGCAGTTAGGTTGTCAGTCCATCCCACTTGAATAAAACAAAACAATAATATAACTTTTATAGGGGCTTATTTGCACTATGATTGATTAAGTTAATGGCTTTTATCTAATCATAATCGTCAGTACAGATAATATAATACAGTAAGGCTACAAGCAATAACCACTAGATTATAAGCGTCAATCGTTAATGAGTACTATTTGATAAAGAATAAATAAAAAATACTTATTACCGTGTCATTGGTAGCATATAATACGTCAGTAAAGACATTATACAAAAGATCAACATAATCCTCGGAAAGTATATCTAATTTCATGAAATTGAAGATGTAAATTCTCATGAATAGGCAATAATAATAATAATTAATTTAGACAACATAAGGCCCATATTGGTAGTTATAAATTTAATTAACCTATGTTAGTAAATGATCGGTCATGACACTCTTGCATTGACTTATCTTCAGGACACTGCTTGAGCTAACACGCACCCTACCCAACAGCGAGATAATTCGTTTGCGCTGTATTGCGTAAAAGTCACTCGTACGCTCTCATGCAAACATGTGTGAAGCATAACAGTGACGGGGTTGCCCCAACAGTGCCCTGAAGGCATTGATATATTGGACTCGAAGAGCATTTGTAAGTTTTTTTGATTACAGTTGACCCACAAGCTACTCGTATAGAATACCTGACAAAAAGCTTCATAAGCACCTAAATGAAATTATTAAGAGATCTGTGTTTGGGTTTGCGTTCGTTTTCCCCTACCTTTATTATCGGAGAGTACTGAAGAGATTTCGATATGGACTTTCTCTTTAGTTTCTGATAACCAAGATACTAGTGAGAACTTTGATTATATATTTATATCCAATTTGTTATCGAGTCCACTACTGTTCTGACAGCTTTGCCAGCAATATTTGAATAAAGTTTTTTATATTTAGTCTATGATGTTACTCTGTGTGGTGATAAAAGAAAGCGTCATAAAACTACATCAATGTCGTGAATACTGCACAAGAGCAAGACAAGAACTTGAATGAATAATAGGAATAGATAGGCACAAGTTGTCAGACTTCACGGTAGTGGACTGAGTCTTGCTCCCACAGGGAGAGACCTGTGTTTAGTACACGTCCCTACTGAATTCCCAGTGTGCATGACAGCGTCAATGCTAAAACAATGGTAACCACGCCTGAGTTACGGTACCGATGGTGGGGCATAAATGAGGGATGAAAAAGCAGGTCAGTTAGCCCATCGCGATGAATCACGTTGAATCCAGTACAATGGTTTCCAGATCGATCACGTGCAGGTCGACTTGACAGGGTATATTGCTAGCAATGGGCCTGGTAGTCCGCATTACTAACACTTCCTCCAAACGTTAGATCAGTTGGCCCATTGTGACAAATTCACAGGGAATTAACCTACATGATTTCCCGGCGGCACTAACTTTAATGAAAAGATGCTATCTAGGTTTTTATTTAATGGAAGATAATGGAATGGTAACCCCCGTCTGCGCTATCGGTATACGCTGGCGGGGCACCAGTGATGGATGATAGATGAGAATGAAATGGCAGGTTATTTTTTTTTTATGGGTGAAAATGGAATGGTAACTCTGCATGCGCTAACGGGATACGCTGGCGGAGTAGCAGTAAAGGGTGATCGATGAGAATGAGAACAGGCCAGTTAGCCCATCATGATGAATTCATTAGGAATTAACCATGATAGTTTCCAGGGAGAACCACGAGGAGGTCGACCTGGTTGGGTATATTGCTAGCAAAGGTATTTTCAGTCTCCATTACTAACAATCCCTTTCACCCCTGAAATGGCAGGCCATCGTGATGAATACTCCTGGAATTCAGCACGATGGTTTCCAGGGGGGACCACAGGGAGCGACCTGATATGGTGTATTGCTAGCAATAGGGCTGATAGTCCGCATTACTAACAATCCCTTCCCCCCTTGCTATCTTGATTGTTATGATGATGATGTGATGAAGTTGAAAATGTCATCATCCCATCTTATCCGCTATCATTCCACATCGACCTTATCGTAACCTAGATTAAGATAGTGTAATCTAGTGATTATACTATCTTATCTTTCTAAGCCAAAACGCAATGCACAGAAATGTAAGGTAGCAATCCTTTTGAGTCAGTATTGAAAAGGGATAATCCGTTAATCCCAATAAGTGGCGACACGTGAGGGGTGCTGTGCATCATTATGTATATATATATATATATATATATATATATATATATATATATATATATATATATATATACAGAAAATTTTGTCATAAAGCTACTTTTAAAAGTATAACTGTTGACTGTATATCAACATATACTACGAGTATGTGGTATTTATTTTATTTTAAGTCTTCAGGAATGGCAACGCATGGGGGGTATCATGGGCGAAACAGTATACTCTGTTATGTCCATGGTACTGCTCATGTCTATAGGCGACGGTTACCACTTTCCATCAGGTGGGCCGTCAGCTTGTTTGCCATTCTAAGTAGTATAAAAAAAATAAAAAAATATTCATTAGTACAAATATGTGTACATGGCGGACTTAATGCTAAAACAAAATTTTGTCTAACCAACTTGATTTTTTGTTTGTAATGGATAAATTCAAAAAATACTTAGGCATTTTTTGTAAATTCATTCAGTTATAGAAAGTTACATTATCCGCGACTTAGTACAATTCGAGACATAAAATTTTATTTAGAAACTGAAATCCGATTAAATGAATTACTTCTAGACGGCGTACCAACATAAAACATACACCAGTTTTTAAATTAGATTTTTGGGATCTGGATAAACCACATTCAGTTATGGTGCAGCACTTTTCGAGTAATGCTAGAAAAAACATACAGAGAGACAGATAGACAAACAAACAAACCCTTATTCTTTCCTATTAGTTACAATTTTGTAATATTAATAATTTTATTAGATAATTATAAATATTTAATTTATAATAAACTTATTTTCGCATATGGGGTGAGCTAAGTTGTTGCACGTCGACCCATACGGATCTTTTGTGCTTCCCCCTGCCTTATACCATCATTTCATAGATCCTATGTGTTACCCTAACGATATCCCGCGGTTTAAGATATCTGTAGTCCCCTGGTTCTGGATAAGCTGTTCCCAGTAGACCCATACGCATGCTTGCCAACGAATCGCAGTTGCACATCAAGTGTTCCATGGATTCCGATTTCTCCCCGCACAGTCTGCACAGTGTGTCCGAAGATAGACCCATCTTGTATAGTATATGCCTTATTGGCATATGTCCAGTTTTTGGCGTATGCATTACCTATTGGTCAGATATCAATGCTGTGAATTATTTAGTGTAATATTAGATTTTTTTTTATCAATTTATTGCATTATTAATACCTACGTCCATGTAGCGCTATTGTAATGCAGTAGTCGAATAATGGTAGCTTTGGTGGTCAATTGTATAGGAAGTTCTATGTAATAATAAATTATGATAAATCACTCGATGAAGATTACATGATTACGATTATAAAAAGAGATACTGAATTTAAATTACAAATTAAACATAGATTAAAAATAATAATTAATATAATAATAATATATAAATTACCAGAGGGAGACTTTGTACAAAAGTCGATTGCTTGGGTACCTCTGTCCCATTCGTGTTTCTACCGTGAAGCTGTTGTATTTGCATGACTGTGTTTCGGTTTGAAGGGTGGGATATGGCGTGAATTTACTGGGTACAGAGGAATAACACCTGAGTCCTCAGGAATGGCAACGCATGGGGAGTATCATGGGCGAAACAGTATACTCTGTTATGTCCATAGTACTGCTCATGTCTATAGGCGACGGTTACCACTTTTCATCAGGTGGGCCGTCAGCTTGTTTTTTTTATTACATAGAAGTACCTTCATTTTCTGGAAGAAATTCGAGTTATTTTAAATTTACATAAATTTTTGCGATATGTTTTGTCGAATGACAAAAAGATGTTTACAATGATTCAATTAAATTAATTATTTCAAACAAGTTGAATCCATTTTTTGTTAGTAAGCGTACTTAAAGACTATAACGTTAATATTTAATTACTATCATAATATCAGCTTCTAACTGTTCACTGCTAAACATAAACCTCCCCCTAGGGTGGTTTTGCCAGTAGTTGCCGCGCTTGGCAGGCGGGATGGCAACCGCAGTCAGGTTTTAGAGATGTTGTAAGAGGGACGCTGCTGCCCATCTCTCGCCCTCCCTTAGTCGCTTCTTACGACACTCGGAAAAGGAAGGCATGGCCTATTGTATGCCGGAACCTCACGAGACAACTTAATTCTAGTCCTCTCGGCAAGAATTCTCACGAGAATTTCCAAACACGTTCAGGATACTTTTGTCACTCCCGCATATTCTATATAAGAACGAAGCTGTCTTTTTACGCCAGATTGCGTCAAAACCACGTATAGTTTTGACGCAGTCTGGCGTAAAATGGTAAAAAAAAAAACAGTAACTTTATCTCTCACTTCAACTTCATGAGAGATGACTCTGTAAACAAATGTTTACAGACATTTTAAATTGAATAAAACTGAACTTGAAAAAATTATGTGTTTATTTTATATTAGCTAATGTAAACGTTCCTTGTTTACTGTCCAAATTTTATATTTTTTCCTAAAAATTATTCACGGTATTAATTCAGGTATTATCAAGCGTCTCGCTTACAAGCTATTATTATTTAGTTTTTATTCATATAGATTGATTAGCTACTTGTAACACGCACTTTAAACAATGAGTAGATAATGTAAATAGACAACGTATCATACATAGACATGTGAATAAATAATTTAAATGATGTATTACAATCATATATGATAATAAAGATAAATTTTTCGACGTCAACGTCTTTAGAATATTATCAAGTATCTGTAAGCTTTATAAAAATGAATAAATTAATAAAATTCATTACACGGTCGGTGGATGCCGTGGAAGCACATAAACAAAACATCAAAATGTCCAACACTGAGAATATACCGACTGATGTGGAAGGCAAAAAGTCCAAGGTGGACTTGGATACTATCCTGGTTCAAGAACTAGGCCAATTTGGATTATTCCAACTTAAGACCGTTATCCTGGCCGTCATTATGGTGATATTCTCGTCTTGGGGCGCTAACGAATATGTGTTCACTACCTCTAGAATTAACACGAGGTATGTATTATTTTTTTTCTTTTTATGATTGTTTACAGCATGTAATTAACAAATAATATAAGATAAATGTTTCTAATGGAATAAATTTAAATAGTTAAAGATAAAAAATTTCCTTAAGATCACTGCCAGCTGGTAGGGTACCTAGGAGACTTGCTGCATTTCCACGCTGAATAGCTATGGAAATGCGTTGACCAAAGTATAGGCCAGCCTTCTGGACGCCTTTTTTTTCTTTTAAATGGGTGGTAATGGAATGGTAACCCCACCCGCGCTATTGGTATACACCGGCGGGGCACCAGTGAGGGATGATAGATGAGGATGAAGCAGGTCAGTTAGCCCATCATGACGAATTCAACGAGAATTGTTCACGATGGTTTCCAGGGGGAACCACGTGGAGGTCGACCTGATAGCCCTATATATTGTTAGCAATGTCGAACTCCATTGCTAACAATCCCTTTCCCCCCTATGTATTATATTTATCTGTGTAAACATCAGCTACTGTAATTATTATTTATACTGTAAATTTAAATACAGCATTAACATTTTACATACCATATTGATTAGTTAAAAGACTTGTTAAGTATTTAACTATGTTATAGACAAAATATAAAAATAAATTCCTAAATGTTTCAATTTTAAATACGAATGTAGATAGAATTTTTTGTAATTAAAAAAAAAAACATTTCCTGAATATCAACTATTGAAAATAATTGTGATAAAACTAACTTGTAGTTTAATTCATTAATGTTTTTTTTTTTTTTATCTTTGTTAATATTTAAACCTAGTTTTAATTCTAGTCTTTAAGACGGGAAGTTCAATAAATTTTGTTATCAAGAGTGACCCAAATTCTATTTTATACAAGAATAAATAAAATTAAAAACATTCATTTTATAAATTTTGTATGAAAAGTTAGAGAAATTAGAGATTTGGGATGTTAAAAATTTATGTAGTATACATATATATTCACAGATTTTCTCGCGTTGTAACGTGAGCTTCCGCTTTGAAGATATATACATAATCCAATACACATTGGGGTCGATTTTCATATGCCATTTTTCTATTCGTATCTTTTAATCTAATATTTTAATAGTTTATTAAAATTACTGTTTCATCGAACTAGATTATCAAAAATTAAATTTATAATAATTTTAAAATTAATTTATTAAAAATTTTATTCATATTTGTCCTTAGAATAAAGATTTGTATGTGATATCAAATTATAATTTTAAAGGTTTAGTGAAATAGCGTTTCCAAAATCGATGACCGAATTTTTAGTCATATTTTCTGCTATAAAAACAAAAAAAGAAAATATTATTACATATATGTATATCGAGGTAACAGAACTAAGTAGGTATAACTCTTAACGTCGGGGGGAAAGGGATTGTTAGTTATGGAGACTGAGAATCCCATTGCTAGCAATATACCCAACCAGGTCGACCTCCTCGCGGTTCCCCCTGGAAACTATCATGATTAATTCCAGATGAATTCATCATGATGGGCTAACTGGCCTGTTTTCATTCTCATCTATCACCCTTCACTGGTGCTCCGCCAGCGTATCCCGTTAGCGCAGGCGGGGTTACAATACCATTTTCATTCAAAAAAAAAAACTCTTAACGTCACCATTTTTATAGATGACTATAAAACAATGTACGGTCATTGTCACTTTTAACAAATGTCACGTTTGATTTAATAGAATTTAAAGGTTTATATACCTATGCACCTTACAATATTATCCCGCACTATGTGTCTTCTTTCTGTCAAATGTCTAATAAAGATTATTTGATAAAACTGATGGTAACATAAATTTAATTGTAAAAATTCTTTGATTTTAATATTTAATTCATTATCATCACCATATCAGCCTTTAACTGTCCACTGCTGAACATAAGCCTCCCCCTTGGGGAGTTTTACCAGTAGCTGCTATGCTTGGCAGGCGGATTGGCAACCGCAGCCAAGCTTTAGAGATGTTTTAAGAGGAACACTGCTGCCCATCCCTCGCCTTCTCTTAGTCACTTCTTACGACACCCACGGGAAAGGATGGGGTGGCCTATTCTATGCCGATAGCATACTAATATTTAATTATTGTTTTATAATTTGCTTCCAGATGCTTGATACCGGAGTGTGATGCAGCTGAGCCGGAGTTCTCTCCTTCGTGGATCCTGAACGCTGTTCCAGATACTTCCTCTAGCTGTCAGCGGTATGGGAACGTGTCAGCTGTTGCTACAGTGGACACATGTCCAGCTGAACTCTTCGACACCAGCACTCTGCTCGACTGCGAGGAGCGAGTGTACGAAAACACGCACTCCGTTGCTTACGATGTAAGTTTTTATATCCTAATAATTAATACCGCAGTTACTTTATTTATTCATTAGTACAAATATGTGTACATGGCGGACTTAATGCTAAAAGCATTCTCTCCCAGTCAACCATAGGGAAGTGTCAGAATACTCGAATGCGGTACTACTAATTATTGATATACATACATACTAAAATTACATATATAAACGAATAAATATATACGAATAACAAATATACTTACACATATATGATATATACTATATTATACACGAAATTGAGAATAATATAAAGGACTTACGCTCGGACAAAGTAAAAAGTGAGCATGAACGTTTTTTTTTAAAGACGGTTCAGTCGGTAGCCTCTTAATGGCATCAAGAAGCGCGTTCCAGAGTCCTGAAGAATGTAGGAGAAAAGAATTTGAAGCGAAACCAGTACGGTGAGAGTGGATAGATAGTTGGAGATTATCACTGGAACCAAGGTTACGATCGTGAGTTTCACCGAAACACAAACAGATACTGGAACTCGCTGTTTAAGTAGTTAGGATACTGGGGGTTTCATGGTGTTAATATTTGCGTGATTGAGTAAATCATGCAAAGGTCAGAATGGATCAGTATATGGGCGGGTTACAGCCTAATTTAACACACACACGACACAGGATACTTATACCTTGGATTTAAAAGTACGTAGTATCATAATATTTACAAACATCTTATTTTTTTTTTTAATGGATGATAATGGAATGGTAACCCCGCCTGCGCTATCGAGATACGCTGACGGGGCATCAGTGAAGGATGATAGGTGAGAATAAAGCAGGTCATTTGGCCCATCGTGACGAATTCAATAAGAATTGTTCACGATGGTTTCCAGGGGGAACCACGTGGAGGTCGACCTAATAGGGCATATCGCTAGCACCCATTGCTAGCTTCATTACTAATAATCCCTCCCCCCCCCCCAAACATCGTATTAGATACTGTGTAAATTATAAAATTGCGTTATATTGTTTCGAGATATCATTTTTATTACCAGTAAAGATATAAATAATATAGGTAATTAATCATCCCATTAAAGTATATTTTTAAAAATTCTCTTTTATATTTCAACTAAATGTGAAACGTTACAGATAAATTTGGTGTTTGGTTTAAATTGGTGTTAAACGAATATACCAATGCCAGAATAAACTCATTAAAAACATATTAAAAAAGTAATTATTGAAAACAATAGCAATACTCGTAAGACATTTCAAATGATAAGGTTTGAGAGACAATAAAGATATCATTTAAAAAAAAAAGATTCATTCGTTCATTTAAATATCCAGTAGCTAGACGTTAAAATGGTAATGATCAGCTAGATGCTAATTGAAAAAAAAGAGAAACTATTTGATCTTTATACCATCTATAGTGAAATTAATTCTATCATTATAAATCAGATCTGATCAGAAACTAAGATCAGATCGAAGCCATCCAAATAATAAATAAAATCCGTGCCAAAGATGCTTACGAGTTTACAATTTGATTCTAAAATTAGATTTCATGCTACACGTTAGAAAATTCTTAAACACATATTGGATACAATTTATATGTTTTTTTTTATACAACTTAGAATGGCAAACAAGCTGACGGCCCTCCTGGTGGAAAGTGATAACCGTCGCCTATAGACGTGAGCAGTACCATGGACATAACAGAGTATACTGTTTCGTTCATGATACCCCCAATGCGTTGCTATTCCTAAGGACTCAGATGTTATTCCTCTGTACCTTGTAAATTCATATCCCACCCTTCAAACCGAAACACAGCCATGCAAAGACAACTGCTTCACGGTAGAAACACGAATAGGACAGAGGTACCCAAGCAATCGACTTTTGTACAAAGTCTCCCTATGGTTTGGTGACAATATTAGCTAGGTTGCTACTATAGGCGGTCATGTATGGCAAGGGGCGATAATGAAATGATAAGAGGTTTTACTGTAATAACAAAAATAAGATAAATGGTAATGTTTTGTTATAAATTAAAAAAAAAAATTCAGCAGATTTCTTTATAGGGCTATAGAGATATTGCTTATTGCTTAGATAAATAACTCTAGCTTATTAAGATGGCATTTCTACAAAGAATGTCAGATATGTTTGTAACAAAAATATATAATAGTTTGTATAGTTAAAGTACTAATAATTTAATGTATTACATAAAATATTTGTATCAACAAAGAATTTTTGAGAACTATAAATTTTAGGAGCTTTCGTCGATCGGTTACTAAAGGATGAAATCTCAATCGTTAACTATAGAACATATTAGGATATTACGTAAATCGAAAATTAAAAATGACAAAAGATTTGGAGTCTTCCATCTTAACTCACTAATTCAATAGCCTCCCAAGCTCATTAGCATGAGAGGCTTAAAATTGTTTGCCGTTTTCCGACCAATGTTTCTTTGGTAAAAATGATCAGTTTCGCTGATCCTTAAAAGGATGCTAACGATTTTGATTTCATTAATATATATGCTATGCTATATTCACCTGTCTTTTTATTTTAACTTAGTTTTTGAAAGTTGATACTATTGTAAATACAGTATACCATATTGTCCCACAGTATGATCTTGGCTGCGAGGAATGGCTTCGCTCGTTGATTGGATCTATACGTACAGTGGGCACCCTCACCGCCCTGCCCATTACTGGATTCATCTCAGACCGGTGGGGCAGACGCACTGCGCTCGCTCTCAACGCATTCAACACCGCCTGGCTGGGCGTAGTCAGATACTTCGCTGGTACTTACCCCGGCTTCGTCATATCCGAATTTGTTGAAGCTACTTTGGGTTCTGCTGGATTTTCTTGCGCTTATATATTATGTAAGTTTAATTTTATTACATCCTTGACCTTCGATATGATCAGGGCCGTGCCTGGGTATATGGCCGCCTGCGTGCCAGTCTGTATGGCCGCCCCCAGGATAACATTAAAAAAAACTACTTTAATTTTTAATGTTTATTATTATACACAGGGCATCAAACCGGGAAAAAAATCAGTTTTTGGTTAACCGAAATCGGCCCAGTAAACAACTTGTAACGATTTGGCCGCCTCTTAATTTCGGCCGCCTGCGTGCGGTGCACGCAATGAACGCCCGTCAGGCACGGCCCTGGATATGATAGTAACATGTTTACAAATTTGTGATTTATTTAAAACAATAAAAAATATGACTATTACAACTAGTATAGTGTATTATCTGTGCTATTACTAATTGTACAAGATATCGTACAATCATAAAAAAAAAGATTTACAGTGAGGAATAGTCTAATACAATTAACAAATATAGATTTATTAAACCAAATAACAAAAAAAAAAACATTAAAGAAAAATTTTACCAGAGGGAGACTTTGTACAAAAGTCAATTGCATAGGTATTTCTGTCCCATTCGCGTTTCTACCGTGAAGCAGTTGTGTCTGCATGGCTGTGTTTCGGTTTGAAGCATGGGATATGGCGTGAATTTACAGGGTACAGAGGAATAACACCTGAGTCCTCAGGAATGGCAATGCATTGGGGGTATCATGGGCGAAACAGTATACTCTGTTGTCCATGGTACTGCTCATGTCTATAGGCGACGGTTACCACTTTCCATCAAGTCAGCCGTCAGCTAGTTTGCCATTCTAAGTTGAATATAATTTTTAAAAATATAAAATTCAATTTTATTTCGGCGTAACTCGGCTCAGTGAATCAGGAAATCGAGCACAATGATTCAGCATGTAATACAAAACGATACAATACAAACAATGCTGGCTTATTAAATACCTGCAGTATTGTACAGTGATAATTAAAATATCAATAATTTTTTTAATCATTAATCGATAAAATTCTAAGCACATTAGTAGATAGGTAAAGGCATTAATACTTGATAACATAAATTATGCAAATTACGTTAATTTCAATCTTAATACTACTTATTGACTAGTTATCAAGCATACCTAAAGATAAGGAGAAAATGTAAAACGGTTTCAGGGTTAGCCTTCAAATTTCTCATGGGATTCAATGCCTACTCTCTATGATTAATATTTTTCAAAGATTCATCATCATTCTCATTCGGTCCCTTTATTAGAAGGATCGAATACTATCTATTTTAATATAGCCTGTATTCTACTTTACATATTTAGTTTTATATAAACCGATGATGTTTTTGCAGTGTTAGGACCAGACGTCATTTTGGTGATTCGCAATCCTGGAAGAAATTGATCATTTACATGAATTAATTAATTTTATTCAGGATTATTACACTTCTTTGTTTATAATTATACATCATTCATCTTTCTACCCTTATCCCAATTATTATTTGTGGTCGGCGTAATATGGTTTTATCCATATTACACAAGGATTTGGCTTATAGTTTTACGACCAGCCGCCTGCCTGACGTCAACTCTCTTTAGAAATTTGTATATAATTATAAATAATGTGAAAAATTCATGCAATTTTGCAGTGATGGAGATCGTGGGCCCTAGGTTCCGTGTGGCCGCCGGCGCAACTATGAACACGTTTTTCTCTGTTGGTCAAATTACCTTGGGTCTTATTGCATGGGGTGTGCCTAATTGGAGGGATCTTACCTTAGTGCTTTACATACCACAACTCTTAACCATATCATATTTCTGGATAATAACAGAATCAGTACGGTGGTACATGAGCAAAGGTCGTTATGTAGAATCTGAGAGAGTTCTGAAAGAAATCGCTAAGGTGAACCGTAGGCAGCTGTCTGAGCGGTCACTAGAAGCATTGCGAGCTACAAACGAGGAAGAGAAGAAGAAAGCAGAATTGGAACAATTGCAGAAAGAGAATGAGCCATGGCTGATAGTACTGGTATTCCGGCACAAACAAGTTCTGATCAGGTGTTTGGTGTCGCCAGTTTGGTGGATCACAACCACATTTATTTACTACGGCTTGTCGATTAACGCAGTAAATATGACTGGAAATAGATACGTGAACTATGTCGCGGTGTCTTCAGCACAGATTCCAGGGTATTGGACCTCGGTGCTACTCATGGGTATAATCGGAAGGAAGCCAGTGCTGATTATTGCCTTCTGGGTGTGTGCCGCCTGTCAAATTGGATATATCTTTATGCCTGACGGTAAGTTAGACACTTAGACATCATAATAATAGATACTATATTTCAAAAACAGCAATCACTGACAATCAGATGACGAAATCATTAAAATCGATTAAAAAATGGCAATTATGACATATAATGTATACTTACACAAAAATACAATATACGGTAGAATTGAGAATATTTACATACATACACACATATCTGTCACGCCTGTCTTCCATTAGGGTAGGCAGAAACAATGGAACGCCAAATGCTTCGATTCAAACAAACCTCTTTCGCTTCCTCCACATTCATCAATCTTTTCATACACGCTCGCCGGTTACGCGTACTTTTAATTTGGTCCTTCTTCAACACGTCGCCTATTTGGTCAACATACGTCCGTCATTGAGAATATTTAATATCTTTTATTTGAAGTCTTGTTTGTAAGAATTATACAATTTACAAAAATTAGAAACTTACATACATTTATGTCTATGAAAAATATATATAATATGTGTTCATTGATAAATGAAAGCAATTATTTAATGAAACAGCCCGCACTTGATGTTGTCTAGTCTAACTGCGATATTGAGGGGGGAAAGGGATTGTTAGTAATGGGGTTAATCTCCACGCGGTTCCTCCTGGAAACCATCGTGGTTAGTTCTTGTGGAATTCGTCACAATGGGCTAACTGACCTGCTTTCATCGTTACCTATCATCTGTCACTGGTAGCCTCGCCAGCGTATATAGCCGATAGCGCAGACGGGGTTGCCATTCCATTATCACCCATTAAAAAAACTGTGATATTGATTACATACGATGATACGAATATATCAACACCAGTTTTTGTCCCCACCTAATGCAACAACACCCTTAATAAAGTACTTATATCTGATGCAACTATTAGTAATGTTACGGCAACCTTTCGTGTTTCAACCGTGAAGCAGTTGTGTTTGCATTGCTGTGTTTCGGTTTGAAGGGTGGAATATGGCGTGAATTTACAGGGTACAGAGGAATAACACCTGAGTCCTCAGGAATGCCAACGCATGGGGGGTATCATGGGCGAAACAGTATACTCTGTTATGTCCATGGTACTGCTCATGTCTATAGGCGACGGTTACCACTTTCCATCAGGTGGGCCGTCAGCTTGTTTGCCATTCTAAGTTGTATAAAAAAAAAACCTTGAAAGAAAGGAATCTATATCACCAGGACTTAAGTTATCATTGTAATATCTATTAAGACATAAGATTCATTATCAAAATCTATTAATTCTGGTTTTTACATACAATCGTCTAGGCTTTGTACCGTTATCGTGTAATTAAACGCACTATCTATACAGACATGTCTAAATTGATATATTTATGATTAATTACTCTATGATTTCATCAATTCAAAGGACATCATGTAATAAAATCCGCATTGTTGTTGTTTTGTTGCACCTGATTGTTGTTTACTTGCATTGTTCATATTGAACTTTTGTTTGTTGAATGTTTTTTATATTAAATAGGTACAGAATAATAATTACCTATATAAGATTTAGGTGATAGTGGATTTTTTTTTTCTTGTATATCTATGTAGATCATAAAGAGCGTTTTTTTTTTCTTGTTAAGTGACTTCGAAGATTCGGTTCTAAATTTTATGTTTTGTATGTATTTTTGTATTTTAATACTTCTTTTTGTAATTGATAATGATTGGTTCCTAACCCCTCACATGACCTAATAAACTGAGCTGTGACCATTTTGTGTTACACTTCATGCACATGCATGAAGGAAGGGAAAGAAAGGAGATTGTTAGTTTATATATTTTGTTTTTTTTTTTTTATTTGTGTTTTTTTATTTTTATTCTTTTGTCTCTTTTACTGTGTATTATGTGTATGTTTTTTTTATATTGTAATTTGTGTGCTGTAAGTAATGTAAATAAATTATCTATCTATCTATCTAACAAGTCGTTGCTTTTCATTATAATATTATAAAAAAAAGTGTTTCAGATCTAAAATATATGCATGATAATAGGATGATAATGGAATGATAACCTCGCCTGCACTATTGGTGTACACTGGCGGGGCACCAGTGAGAGATGATAGGTGAGGATGAAGCAGGTCAGTTAGCCCACCGTGATGGATTCAACAAGAATTAGCCACAATAGTTTCCAGGGGGAACCACGTGGAGGTTTACCTGATAGGGTATATTGCTAGCAAACAGGCTAACAATCCCTTTCCCCCCTAAACAATATATATTATAAATACATAAACTAAAATGGTTGAAATATATATCAGAATGTTGTGTTTCCCAGAGGCTTTTCAACAATAGAATGCTGTTGCAGAGCAATATGCCGCATCGCTGGCGCTGTACTTGATCGGGACGTACTGCATTGCGATGGTGATGACGTCAGTGTACGTGTACACCGCCGAGCTGTACCCCACCAAGTATCGCCACAGCCTGTTCGCGTTCTCTTCCATGATGGGCAGGATCGGCTCCATACTGGCACCGCTAACTCCCGCCTTGGTAAGTACACCACATGTAATGTTAAAATTTATTTTATCTGATTACTTGATTTAGTCAGCAGAGTTGCTCTTAAAACATCAACGCTTGCCAAACGTGGTAATTACTGGCAATACCTCCCTTATGGGGGTGGCTATATTCAGCAAAAAAATAACTATCCATTTTTTTTATACAACTTAGAATGGCAAACAAGCTGACGGCCCACCTGATAGAAAGGGGTAACCGTCGCCTATAGACATGAGCAGTACCATGGACATAACAGAGTATACTGTTTCACCCATGATACCCCCCATGCGTTGCCATTCCTGAGGACTCAGATGTTATTCCTCTGTACCCAGTAAATTCACGCCATATCCCACCCTTCAAACCGAAACACAGCCATGCAAACACAACTGCTTCACGGTGGAAACACGAATGGGACAAAGGTACCGAAGCAAACGACTTCACAAAATGGCAAAGTAGTTTTTTTTTAGTTTATTCATTACAAATATATACACAAAAATTCAAATCTTTCCTCTTTATAATATTAGTGTAGATGTAGATTTCCGAAATTTCCTAGTCATTATCAAAAACTAAATCTAGAGCTTTGATACTGTCTGCATTTCGTCCTTTGCTTCCATATTAATACCAAATATTCATTTCCAGGGCACAGCAGTATGGGATAAGCTACCTTTCCTGCTGTTTGCTAGCTTAGCTTTCCTATCTGGTTGCTTGATATTCATCACTCCAGAGACCCATGGCTCCAAGTTCCCAGACACCATGGAGGAGGCCTCCAACATTGGTAAAAATAAACTTAACCCCTAAACTAGTATTTTGAACGTTCAGATCTGTATGTTAAGTTAATAATATAATATTATTTAGTACGTAGAATAAGCGACCGATCACACGGACTGGCTCGAAGAGGAGATCAGAGGGCCATGTAATATTTTCCGAAATTTCGGAGCCAAACGAAACACAAATTTGATGTTAAAATTACATAATACATGCCGTTTGGAAATATTAAAAATGTTAAAATATTGTTCCTTTGGACTTTTTTGATAGGATGTATGACGAACGAAATGTTAAACTCCATTTCGGAATTTCATTTCATGGTAGACCCGCTGATCTTTATCGCGTTTTAAAATAAGTTTTAGATAATTGAAATAAGGTTTATTTTTATATTTTACTTTTTTATCACTCTCAAACATTCTCATGTAATAAAATAAGTGCAAAAGTAAATATAAATCTTATTTCAATGATATTAAAGTCTGCTTTCTCCTCATAGCCGGTCTGTTTCGGCATGCAAATATTTTTTAACCGACTTCTTAGAGAGTGCTAAATGTGTTTATATAGATCCTTTTTATTATTTTGACTCTTTTATCCATGATCCTGTTCATCATAAGTCCACCATTTCTATTGCAAAGTTTGGACATTGATTTTGTGGCTTGTTTAAAACAAGACACAAAATACGCAATCCCACCACATAGAAACTGTTATAAAAATGTTACTTGTTGTTACATTCGTGTAGTAAGTAAGTATGTATGTGTCATTATCACAACGATCAATAAATTCATCGACTCGGTTGGCGTGAAACGCAGCATTTTCAAATGATTTATTATTTTCTTACTGTATCACTTCCGTCTTTTTTGCATGTTTGTTTTTTTAATTAGTTTTTTTTTTTTAATTTTCTAATCTATTAAAGGTGAAATTGTTTTTTAAATTAAGCTTTTTAAGTTTCACATATAATTTTATTAAACTGTACCTACAATTACAATTAATATTGTGTAATGACTGCTAATTTATATTATGTGTCAAATAAAACGTATTTATTAGTAATTACCAAATATGTATTTATTTACCTAATCAAAATTATATCCTACTGTAACATTTAATACACAGTATTTATAATGTTTCTATTTAAATTTTTATTAAATGTATGGGTGACTCTTGGTGTTTTATTTTAGCTCTAGTATTTACCTTGAGTTGCCGTGTAGCTTCCGGCATAGAATGGGCCTCCCCTTCCTTTCTTGTGGGTGTCGTAAGAGGCGACTAAGGGAAGGCGAGGGATGGGCAGCAGCGTCCCCTATACAAAAATCACTAAAAGCTATTCTATGTCAGGACCAATACGGTAATATATATATATATATATATATATATATATATATATATATATATATATATATATATATATATATATATATATATATATATAATTATTATAGCAAACTAGCAATTATCTAATAAATAGGTCACTTTTATGCACAATAAACGACAAAATATTTATTCGGGAAGTCCCGGAACATATTCAAACAAAGGAATTAAGACTTTTGTTGCTATTTTAAGCATGCTCTGAAATTTATGTTATTTGTTCGCCGTATAACGGAGTTGAAATGAGGCCAACGTTATATTTTTAGCCAATTTTGGCATGCAAGTTACTTTTGTGTGCATTTTCTTCCGCAGTCTGTCATGATCCGCTTGGGTACATCTGCCTCACCTAATTATTGTTGTAAGCAGCTTGCTTGTTTGAAAGATGGACAAAGATGTAATTTGTACTGTACCTACTAAATATCTTACCATATTTATCTTCGCTGTATGCTTGTTTATCACTTCCTTGTACTGGCTCTATATACAATGGTTGCGGGTTCGATTCCATCACAGTTTATTGGTGTCCATGAACGTGTGTGTATTTGTGTGGATATTTTCTGTGTATTTTATGTATACATTTACTAATATTCATTATTATTTATTATTATTATATCTATAGTTAATTTAGGACTAAATATGTACTATAAAAATTCCCATGCTGTGCTCCCCTTTATAAATCTAGTTTCATGTCTTAATACAAAATAATAAATAATTTATTTTTAAATAAAAAGGAATTAAATAATATTTTAATATAAAACTTTAACGTATTTGAATCTTATCGAGGTGATTTTGAATACCCTTACGTATAAAGTTATCCTAAAGAACTATTTATTTATCATCTACGACTGAATACTCGTCAGGTAAATGTACTGTGCGGCGGTAGACACGTGCGCCCGCGCACGCCAAAGTCCACATACCGAGACGCCTTAACATTGTAACTTGCATTGTGTATACACACACATATATACACATCACAAGTAATGCCATACAATTAAGACTATATCTAATGTTACTCACATGTTACTTCATCTGAAATACTAGCTGCGTATTGCTGGTATTTGATTTTTTTTTGTTCAATCTGTAGTAGAATTAACAAAATCTTGGTTTTTCAATCAAATTTTTTCTTTTATACAACTTAGAATGGCAAAAAAGCTGACGGCCCACCTGATGGAAAGTGGTAACCGTCGCCTAGCTTGTTTGCCATTCTAAGTTGTATAAAAAAAATTATAGTTTTATTTCTAAATAATAAAAAAAAAACTAGTTTTGTCACAGTGGAAGTCGGTTTTTTTTTTGGGACGCTATATTTTGTGCATTGTTATATTCGCCGTGTGTGGTCCCGGCATAGAATGGGCAATCCCTTCCTTTTCCGTGGGTGTCATAAGAGGCGACTAAGGGAAGGCAAAGGATAGGCAGCAGCGTCCCTCTTAAAACATGTTTAATGGTCTAACTGCGGTTGCCAACCCGCATGCCAAGCGTGGCAGCTACGGGCAAACCTCCCCTTATGGGGAAGGCTTATGACCAGCAGTGGACAATAATATATCGACATTATTTAGTAATTGTGTAAAGTATCGAAAAAGATTGTACATACGTACATATCAAATTTTATTGTCACGCTTATTATGTGCAGTCGATTATAATGAACGACTGCCCGCTATCCACTGTGCAAATAAATAAAGTAAATCGTGTTAATGTAACGTCTTAGTCACCACTGTTACCCACATGTCCTGTATTTGGACAGTGCAGGCTTGTATATGATGTTAACATATTTGCCACAAAAACTGAGACATTATTATATAATTCATTATTGGTAAATTTGCAAGGAGTGGAATTGCGAGTAGAATATATATACATACTAGCAGACTCGGTAAACGTTGTTTTACCATATACATTATTTCTAGAACTATACATGAAAATATATCGTACTACAATTATTATATAGGATTGTCATCCTGCAACCCTATTGCGGCATATAAAAATTGCGATAAAATAACAGGGGTTGATTGTAAAAACGTGAAAATTTTAATTTGTATGTATTTTTCAATGCTAAATCATAATAAAATAAAAATAAAAAAAAAAAATGCCAAAAAAATAAAAGAAAAAATCTAGGGGTGAGTCGCCCCTATCATTGAGGGGTATGAAAAATAGATGTTGGTCGATTCTCAGACCTACCCAATATGCACACAAAATTTCATAAATATCGGTAAAGCCGTTTCGGAGGAGTTTGGTAACAAACGCCGTGACACGAGATATATAAGATTTATTTATTAAAAAACTAAATTGCTGAAATGATTATGATGAAAATTTCAACGGGACGAAATTATAACCGAATTCAGAAGCTCCTTTTTTGGAGTCGATTGAAAATAAATTTAAAATAGTTCCGTATTAAATTATATAATATATATTTAATGAAAGTATTTCGACTGCAATCAGGCGAAACGAATATAAGATCAACATGGCAGTCGCTTATCGACCTCAAAATAAATTATGAAAATTTGAATTATATTTAGCGAAGATTGGACGTAGCATTGTTCTAAAATTCCAATATGGGGAATATTAGAACAAGCAGACATACGGTGACGCACCCCATATAAACAAACATGAGCGCCAATTTGGTTTTCCCGATGCGTCGCATCCCAACAACTGATGCGGTTTATTCCCGTTTTCTTTTTACTTATTGCCAGATGCATTAAATTACAATATGAAAATATATTTTTACATAATTATTATATGCTTCGACTGAACGAATTGTACCCCCTCTCCTTTCTATGGTATCGGTATTATAGCTTAGTTTAATGAATTTATTAGGTTCTAATTACAATGGTTTTACTACCCCATGTAAGTCGCGTTGAGGCCAACCTCACTGTGTATATTGCTAGCAATCGGACCGCTACACCCCGTTAGGGATTCTTTCCCCCATCATCTCTTCCGGCAAACAAACTAAGTGCAATAATTATTTATTTAAACTTTAATGCATAGTAAAAATCTATGTACAAATGTCCGGACTTAATACCGGATGGTGTTCTCTACCAGTCACCCATTGGGCAAATCGAAAAATAGGTAGGCGGTGCATTATTGTGTTGCGGACGATGGTACCAACTGTATGTACTTTTTTATAGTTATTAGTTTCTTGTTATCTTATGCAGTTTCATGCTAATTCATTTGTATGTAAATTGTTGCGGAACATAGCTCCAACCGTATATAGTTTAGTTATTAGTATTTGTTCTTGTTATCTTATGTCATTTCTTGCTACATTATTTATATGTAAATGTTAAAATTTGGAAAGTAAAAAAATAAAACATCCATAGGTTGGTACGAACTAAATCGAGATAGCATTACATAGACAGAGATGGATAGTGTAGGAAAACTAACATAGAATCTCAGTGCTCACCGAGCATACTCCCGGTCGAAACAGTTCATGTCGAGAGGATAGACGCCGAAGTCGAACGCATCGCGTCCACCTCACCCACCGAAAAGCTTTTAACCGTCACGCTCGACGAGTTACAAACGTTGGTTAAAAAATTACCCATCAAACAAATCACCCAGTCTAGACGGAATCTGCAACAGACTCATTAAAAGTCTGCTCATCTAGGGACATCTTACTACTTCTCGTCGCCATCTACAATGCAGCGCTCTTTAACCATATTTCCAGATAGCCTTGAAAGAAGCCGTGGTCATCGTCATCCCTAAACTTGGCAAAAACAAATCCCAACTTGCCATCCGCCTCATCAACCTCCTCAAAGCAATAGGTAAGCTATACGAGCGACTCATTCTCGCCCGTTTGAAGGATTCCATCCAGTTCAGAAATATCAAAATCGGCGAGCGGTTTGGCTTTCGAGGTATACACTCTTGCGTCCGCCAAGTACATTTCCGCATCACGGAGTTCATTCACAAAAACATCCTCTACTTCGCCATTAGGAGGTCCAAAGGAATTTTTGACGTAGCCAAAGCGTTCAATAAAATATAGCACAACAGCTTGATATATAATCTACACCAATTGAAAGTGTCAGACAGTTCCGCACATCATACGCGACTTTCAGTCGAATCGAACTTATCGCTACCGTACCGCTGGATCACGCGACAAACCGTAAACCTATTGGGTGAATGGTTTCGTCGGTGGCGCATAGAGATTAATCCCAGAAAAAGTGCAGCACTGTACTTTAGCCGGAGAAAAGGCCCTATGACTCACCTGATCGAACTATTCGGTCAAATGATCCCGTGGGTTCCCAATTTAAATATCTAGGCGTTACTTTTGACAAACAACTAATGTTTCCGTCTCACATAAAACGCGTCCGCGACAAAGTCGCCTACATTCTCGGACGGCTATACCCCTTCGTTAACAAGTACAGTAGAATGTCGCTTAACAATAAGCTGATATTATACAAAGCTTACGTGAGGCCTTTATTCACATACACTAGTCTTGTATTAGCCCAAGCGGCACCGGCCCTTCTCAAACAATTCCAAATATTGGAAAATAAATTCTTGTGGCAAGCTACCGGCGTGCCATGGTTCGTCCGCAACGCAGACTTCCATCGAGTCTTAAACTTCTCACTATTAAACATTTCATAAAGGAAACATTTAAACGTTACTTCAAGTCAGCTCAATCGCACTCCAACCCACTCGTAGTCAGCACAGCAGACTACGTACTAAGGAGAGGTGTCTTGCCGCGATAACGCCGCCTGAAGCATGTTCTCGACGACCCCGCTGACATACATCCCAGCGTCCGGGCACTTAGTTCCAGCACTTCAGCTAGTCCTAAACGATCCCGCTGCTACTTTAGGTGGGGATCGAGATATGTTGGCC